AAATTTGGTTTGGAACTCACAGAGATCCTCTTGCCTCTGCCTCCTGCCTGGCTATGTATACACATTTTTGTGTACTATAAATGCCTACATGTATGCTTGTGTACCTCATACCTGCAGCCCATGGAGGCTGGATCCCTGTACCTAGAGTTACAGGCAGTTGTAAGCTGCTTTATGGGTTCAGGAGCCTATGCAAGAGCAGCAAGTGTTTAACTGCTGAGCCACCTCTCTAGCCCTGACCTCTCTAGCCCTGAGACAAGATTTCATTTTTTTTTAGGTTTTTCGAGACAGGGTTTCTCTGTATAACAGCCCTGATTATCTGGAACTTGCCTTGTAGCCCAGGCTGCCCTAGTTCCCAGCGGAGACAAGGTTTCTTACTGAACCTTGAGCTCACTAATTTTGGGTTCTGGAGATCCAAACTCAAGTCTTCATGATTACACACAGCAAACAATTTATCCACAGAGCCGTCTCACCAGCCCCCAACTTTTTTTTCTTTTGGAGATAGTGGTTCCCTCTGTAGCCCAGGATGTACTCTAGTTAAAGGCGAGCCTCCTGCCTCCGCCTTCTAAGTGCCATTTTCTTTGTTGTATTAAGGATACATACTTAGCTTGTAAGTCAGTTGTATTCTGGAGCTTGTATTTTCACTTGTTTAATAATCTCTTACACAGCATAGCTTCTTATCTTTACAGAGGCTGGCTGTCAGTCCTTGCATGGATTTAGTTTTTGGTCTTGTCAAATCCAAAGGCATCCAGATTTTCCTCTCTCTTTTGGTATTTCAAGACAGGATTTCTCTGTGTGACCCTGGCTGTCCTGGAACTTGCTCTGTAGACCAGGCTGGCTTCGAACTCACAGAGGTCTATCTGCCTCTGCCCTCTCAAGTGCTAGGATCAAAGGTGTGTGTCACCACCGACTAGCTCTCTTGGTTTGGTTTGGTTTGGTTTTCAAGACGGCTTTTCTGTGTAATCCTAGATGTCCTAGAACTAGCTCTTGGCTGGCCTGAACTCAGAGAAACCTGCCTGCCTCTGCCTCCCAAATTTTGGGGTTAATGGCATGAATCACTACCACTTGGCTTGATTTTTTTTTTCCTTTTATATGTTCACATTACTGACTCTAGCTCCATACATTAAAAACCCTCTGGGACAGGCTAGATAATAGCGAGCAGTTAAGAGCACTGGCTGCTCTTCCAGAGGTCCCTAGTTCAGTTCCAAGCAGCCACATGGTGGCTCACAACCATTTTTAGTGGGATCTGATGCCCTCTTCTGGCATAAAGTCATACATGTAGATAGAGCACTCATATACATAAAATAAATAAATCTTCAAACAAAAACTCTTAAAGGTCCTGCCTGATATATACGTAGTCTAGTTTGGCTTGGAACTGGAATTCCCTGCTTTAGTCTCACAGGTTTTAGGATTACAGGTTTGTGCCCTAAAGATCAAGAGCTAGGAGCCAGCCTGGGCTACATAGTGAGACCAATTTAAACCTTCTTCCCCCACCCTCCAAAACTGAATGCCTCCTGTGAGATGAGTCTGACTTGGCCTTTTTTTTTTGCTCATGCTAGGCCCTTCATCCTTACACATCTAAGGTCTGGCACACTGGCAATGGTGGTGAGCCTGTGGTGTTTGGGGGCAAACGTCCTTGATCTCTTGTCTGTCCTTATACGCGCAGTTCAGATTTGGGCACAAGTATCAGCCTCACCTCTGGCTCCCCATGCCCTCAGCCGTCCTTTGCTCTTTGCTGGTTCCCCTTCCCCGTGGCAGGGCAGGATGGAAGTCTCCATCGGCATCATCTAGAGAGAGGACCCACAGCTTTGTAAATAAGTCTATACATCACTGTGCTGTAACTGTATCGTATGGGATTTCCACGTTGGGGTAGTTTGGGAAACCGGTTCCATCACTCAAGAGCATTCTGTTTTTCAGGCCATTAATTAAGGCGAAGTTGAACCAAGGTGTGACCCTTGTTTTGGATCGATACGCCTTTTCTGGGGTCGCCTTCACTGGCGCCAAGGAGGTGAGTACTGTCTGGCTTCTTTCTCGGGTTGCCAGGTTGGACCCGGGCCTGCTCTTCTTCCTTTTCAGTGTCTCCGACCACGATGAGTACGTACGTATTCAAGTTACTCTTAGGAATTTGTTGGCCCTGGCATTCCTTTAACTCTCTTGCGAGATTAAATTGGTTTTTATCAATAAAGAAATGTACCTGCGGGATTTTCACATACAGTGTTGTGTTTTCCATTTGAATGATCTTTTCCTGTGCTGCCTCACTCTGTGACCAGAGAGAGAATGACTAGGCTACTGGAGCCTCTACATCGCTTCATATGTGTAATGGTAGGACCTGCAGTGCCCTTTTTTCTTTTATTTCTAAAAAATATTCTTCCATTTATATTTGTTTAGGGCAAGGTCTCACTATGTAGCTTTTGCTAGCCTGGAACTCACTGTGTAGACCAGACTCACCCGGAATCAGAGAGATCTCCCTGCCTCTGCCTATGCCTCAAGTGCTGGGATTAAAGGCCTGCTCCCCCCCACCACCACCACCCACACACATCTGATAATGCTTTTTAGTTTTTAAGCCTCAGCTGTTTGGCAACAGAAAACCTCCCGGTAGAATCATTAGCTTCAGGTACACTCACATCCTCTGCTCGGTATCAGATGGCATTGTGGATTCTTAATAAAAGTTTACATCTAAGATGTAACTCTGTGTGTGTGTGTGTGTGTGTGTGCTGGTTGGGGGTGGGGGGGGTTGTTCATTTGAGACAAGGTTTCACTGTGTAGCCATGGCTAGTCTGCAATTCACTATGTAGATCTGACTGACCTCAGGTTCACAGAGATCCACTATCTCTGCCTCCCTAGTGTTGGGATTGGGTTTTTAAAATTGCGCGCGCGCGTGTGTGTGTGTGTGTGTGTGTGTGTGTGTGTTGTCTGTAAGTATGTCTGGTGCCGGGGCTGGAGAGATGGCTCAGAGGTTAAGAGCATTGCCTCCTCTTCCAAAGGTCCTGAGTTCAATTCCCAGCAACCACATGGTGGCGCACAACCATCTGTAATGGAGTCTGGTGCCCTCTTCTGGCCTGCAGGCATACACACAGACAAAATATTGTATACATAATAAATAAATATCCTTTTTTTTTTTTTTTTTTAAAAAAAGGATGGTGCCCATGGAGACCAGAAGAGGGTGTTGGGTCCCCTGGAACTGACATTACAACCATTGTGAGCTGCCATGTGGTTGTGGGAATTGAATCTGGGTCCTCTGGAAGAGAAGCCAGTGCTCTTCACTCCTGAGCCATCTCTCTAGCACATGGGGTTGCTGTTTTTGAGTCAGGGTCTCTTATAGTCCACACTTAGGGGAAGTCACTCAGTGGATCGTGTTGACCTCAGACATGTAATCCTCTTGTCTCAGCCTTCTGAGCACTGGGATTTCAGGAGAGAGGCACCACCACTTCTAGCCCAAGAACGTTAGTGTAAGAACAATCTTACCTCAACACAGACATCAGTCACTAAACATGCAATGTTCATGTTCTCAAGTCTTGTATTTTTATTATATTAAACCAGAATCTAGTTGATTAAGGTCCATGCATGGAGGCGCCTCTTAAATCTCTATTTGTTGCTATTGTATGTAAAGATGCCACAGCAAGCATGTGAGGGGCAGAGGCCCACTTTGGAGAATTACTTCCCTCCTTACACCGAGTTTTGGGAATTTATCTCAGGTCTCAGACTGTGTGGTAAGTGTCTTTATAAGCTGAACCATCTCAGTGGCCCACGGGGTGGGCTGGTTGGTTGTTTCTGCTGGGCCTTGGACCTAGGGCCTCACACATGGTAGCCATTGCTCTCCAATCCATTAAGTCCTTGATGTGTAAGTTCCCACGTCTCTTTCTGACATTCACATCTAAAATATTCTGAGTCTTAAGAGTATAACTCTTTTGTTAAGTCTTTTGTTTTTTAAAGATGTATTCATTTTACTTCTCTGTGTATGAGTGTTCTGCCTGCATGTGTACACTTGCGTCCACAGAGGCCAGAAGAGATTGTCAGATCCACCAAGACTGGAGTTACAGGGAACTGTTAGCCACCATGTGGGTGCTGGGAACTGAACGTGGGTCCTTTGGGAGAACAGTAAGACCTCTTACCAGCTGAGCCATCTCTCCATGTAGGAGAGTGTAACTCAGGCAAAGCATGCACTTGCCCATCTCCTCCGCTCTTTTTTGTTAGTGTTTTTGTTGTTGATGTTTTGGTTTTATGAGACAGTTTCTCAGTGTAGCCTCGACTGTCCTGGAACTCTGTAGACCAGGCTGGCCTTAAACTCAGACCTGCCTGCTTCAGCCTCCAGTGGCTGGGTGGGAATAAAGGTGTGTACCACTACAGCCTGGCACCTCCCACAAACCTTACTGTTTTTTGAGACAGTCTCAGGCTGACCTTGAACCCACTATATAGCTAATAATAACACTGAACTCCTGCTTCTAGCTCTCAAGTGCTGGAATTGCATTTGTTTTGTTTTGACCTTGAGACAGAGTCTTCTGTAGCTCAGCTTGATTTGAGGATGAACTTGAACTGTCTTCTTGCTGCCACTTTCTGCAAGAGCTGTCACCACACCTAGCTTCATGTGTTTACCTTGTACTTTGGTAAACTTCTAAGAGTGCTGAGTCCTCTCACAAGAAGCAGGTGGTGCCTGACGTCTTTACGTAATATCCCCTGGGGATGACAGATTACCAAGTGACAATAACCTTTTATATTCTGCTGTTTCTTTTACATATGTTAAGAGTCCTTCCCTGATGAAGTATTTTGTTTGTATAAGGAAGCTAGGACAGATGATTGGTACACATTATAACCCTAAGGGAGGGTCTTTGGGGTTACTTCTTGAGCTTATAGTGTTTCCAGACTTACTTCTGGAAACATTTTTAGCAAGGCGATAAAAGGAGTGAGAATATGTACACGAGATCTAGTAGGCAGACAAGCATGCAGTGGGTTTCCAGGATTGCTTTTTTCCTTCATTGTCTCTCGGGAGGAATACAGATGAAAGCTTACGGCACAGAGCTCTCTGTCCTGTCTCTGGAACAAGCGCCTTTCCAGCTCAGACTCTCTAGGTTGACTGTGCCACCAGGACATCTGCGTATGCCATGCCTTATTCTGAGATGGCCCAGGACGCAATGTGGTTCATAAACCGAGCGCAGAGCACAGAGCTGTGACGCCTTCCTGTTAAATCTTATCTGCAGCAGGTCCCCCAACCCCACTTTGAAGCAAAAGCTTATACCCCACTCAGTCTGCTTTCTCTAACTGTTGGCAGAATTTTTCCCTGGATTGGTGCAAACAACCAGACGTGGGCCTTCCCAAGCCCGACCTGATCCTGTTCCTTCAGTTACAATTGCTGGACGCTGCGGCACGGGGAGAGTTTGGGCTTGAGCGCTATGAGACCGGGACTTTCCAGGAGCAGGTTCTGCTGTGTTTCCAGCAGCTCATGAAGGATGAAAAGCTGAACTGGAAGGTGAGTGCTGGCTACAAACAGCCGTCGAGGAGCTGTGTGGTAGTCTACCCTCTGCTGACATCAGCGCAGCCGGTATAGTTTGTTTGCTTACCCATCAGGGAAGCTATTCTGGTTCTCTGCCAACAGACTTTCTGGTGGTAGTAGTGGTGCTAGCTAAAGAACCTAGGGCCTCACCTACCACTGGGCTATACTTGCAGCTCAATGCCAACAGATTCTAATCCTCATACCGATTTTACAAAACCCTAAGACTCCTGCTTTGTCTGGGCTAGATGAGTTTAAGGAGCAGTCCTCATAAGAATGAGATACTCTATATCTGCACGACTCAAAGATGAGCCCCAGCAAACGTCTGTTATCTTATTCTATACAAGCCTTTAGTCCTGTGACATCACCATTCAGAACATGGTCTTGCAAGCTATATCACACTTTACTTTGCAGTCTTTTTCATAGGAATGACTCTTCATTGTACGGATTATACTTACTGTCAGAAGGTGGAGTTTGCCAGTTTCATGGTGAGATGTCTTTTTCTTTTTTTTTTTTTTTTTTTTTTTTTTTGGTTTTTCGAGACAGGGTTTCTCTGTGGCTTTGGAGCCTGTCCTGGAACTAGCTCTGTAGACCAGGCTGGTCTCGAACTCACAGAGATCCGCCTGCCTCTGCCTTCCGAGTGCTGGGATTAAAGGCGTGCGCCACCATCGCCCGGCCCAGAGATGACTTTTTCTTTTAGCTCATGCAGTGATTTCTTCCTGGCCTTCCTGTTGGCTCTCGGTCATTATAGCACCTTTTCCTCTATAGCTACAACCTGGGCCTTTATCCTGCCCATTTCTTTGAAGCCTGTAGGCCTATATATGGTCATTTGCTGGAGCCCAGAAGTATCCATACCAGGCTTCCCTCTGGTCCTGTTTCCTTCACTCTGTAAACTTGTTTCAACACTGGTCTCAGGAATTGGCTTCAGCTTCCCTCTTGTTCCTTGCACGGAAGCCAACATGAGCACCTTCTCTGCTGCTTGCTCCTACTCTGACCCTAACTGCACCGTCGTTCCACACATCTACTCTGGAATAGTCCTGGTGGGCCTGGCATTGCCCGCACAGGCCGTCTTTTAACTGTTGCCTATGGCTCCCAGACTTGCAGCTGGCACTTGAGTAGCACAGCATCACAGGCCAGTTTTGTCTACGAAGGCGCTGTTTCCATGGCATTACTTGCCCTTTGTTTCTGTTACATGTCCTCAGGATTGCAAAGTTTATCCTAAGTTTCTGCACCGCCGTGCCATATTAGAGCAGATGTGAATACCCTTCTCTTTCCTGGGCATTAAGTCAGCCTAGAGAGGCACCCTGGATAGTCTGGGCCAGGGTTGTGTGGCTGTAGGGGGGCTGTCACGCTCCCTTCTAGGAGGTGAAACCTGTGGCGTTTTTCTGCACACAGCCATACTTTGAGAAATACCTGGACTCCTTCCATAACCCTCCTGCAGCTTTTTAAATGTTTGCTGCCAGAGGTCTTAGCCAGACTTACAGAAACAAGGGTCCTGTCCAGACCCCCTCCAGATGGTGGGACTTGGAGATGGTGACACTTATTCAGACCCTCTCTCCTGGTTCGCACCTGGATCTACCTGTCCTGAAGGAACAGAGCAGCCGTCAGGACAGCTTTCATCTCCCAAGAGGACAGGAAGCAAACCAGGTTGATTTTTTTTTTTTTTGGAGACAGGGTCTCTACATAACCCTGGCTATCCTGGAAGGAACTATGAAGTCCTTGAATTCAGAGAGATCTGTCTGCCTCTGCCTCCTGAGGGTGGGTCACCATGCCTGACATGGAGCCTGTTCTTATCAACTGGAGGATAGTTGCTCAGCCTGCTTAGGAGCAAGATGAGCAGCTAGTGCATGTTGCTTCCCGTGTCTGGGATGCGGTAGGTATGCAAGCTACGGTGTGCCAAGAACACCAGGTTCAAGGAAAGCTGTGGGTGAAGGGTCCCTGAGATCTAGGTTGGCTCTTGCAGGCCCTGGCTCACTGAGGTCACCACATGCACTGGGAAAAGGGCAGAGGTGGTGTAATGTCGCTTTCCTGCTCTCTCCTTGTGGTGACAGGTGGTTGATGCTTCCAGAAGCATTGAGGATGTCCATGAAGAAATCCGTGTCCTCTCCGAGGACGCCATCCGCAGTGCCGCACAGAGTCCGCTGGAGGAGCTATGGAAATAAATTAGACTTCCACTGCAGAAACTGTTCTCCGGTCCTTTAGGAGACTGGTGGAAGACTCACAACACTGTTCAGTGGGAGCTCTTAGCTCCCTACAAGCCTCCGTCATAACCTGAGATGTTGGTGGTATGGACAAGTTGTGCAATATCTTCTCCTGACTCCTTGATCCTAAAGACGTTAATGTGTTATGGTATTTCCATACCGACCTTTAGTGGTAACTTTGGGCAGTTTCACTGAGATCATTAGAAACATCAATTAGTTGAGAGTTGTATTTTTTGCAGACACTAATAAAAGCTTATTTGAAAATGTACCTCACTGGCTTCCCCTAAGAATTTGTAGAGATGGGTCTGCTTACTACTACATGGGATTTCCACTGTGGGCTTGATCAGTGTTACCAGCCTCCATGCTCTGATTCTGTGTTCTCGGGCGTGGCCAGGCTTATCAAAAGGCACGATGTTCAACATTCTAGACATTCTAGATAACAACTTTGTGTGTGTGTGTGTGTGTGTGTGCTGCTGAAGCTTCTCACACTATCCCCTCCAAAACAGGATGATTTGACATTTATTTCCTGGTAGAATACAGCCTGTATGTGTAGGGTGTGTCACAGGTGAGGTGAAGCACATTCCCCCTCAGGATCAAAAAGGTATGGGCTAGGTGGATGGCATGGCATGGTACCTTGTGCTGAGAACTACCCTGGTGTGGTGATGCACATTTAATGCCTTTAATGCCAGCACTCAGGAGGCAGAAGCAGGTGGATCTCTTGAATTCCAGGCTAGCCAGGGCTACACAGTGAGATAATCATCAAAAAAAAAACAAACAAAAAAACAGAAAAAAATGGTAGGGGATTAGCCAGGTGTGTCATCAGAGGCCTCTTAACAACCAGTCTGAGGTCAGGAAATGCAGAGCATCTGTAGCCCCGAGAGGAACTGGGAAATCAGCCCTACTGCCAGCATAGCCTGCATTTCCGGAGAGCAGTAGGCGTGAGCTGTAAGCATAGCAGCCCTAAGAAGCCAGCACAGTGATGCTAAGCCTCGCCTTGGGCCGTTGTACTTGGGTCAGCAGTTTTCTTTTATTTGGACTCAGCAGGTAGGTGTCACCTAGGATTGTCCCACTGAGATGTCACCAGGCAGAATGAGGTGATGATCCTCAGTCTACTAGTCCCCCAGGCCAAAACCAGGTACAGCTTGCCTGGAGGGAACTCAAGGCAAGCCTTGTAAGTGCTTTTCACTGCTTTCATTTTTTAAGCAAGTTTTTTTTTTTTTTTTTTTTTTTTTTTTTTTTGGAGACAGGGTTTTTCTGTAGCTCTGGCTGTCCTAGAACTCGCTCTGTAGACCAGGCTGTCCTGGAACTCAGAGCTCTGAGTGCTAGGAATAAAGGTGTGTGCCACCACTGCCCGGCTTAAACAAGATTTTTACTATTTCTATGTGTTTATGCCCACAGGGACCAGGAGTGTTAGATCCCCAGTGTAGGTGCTGGGAATGAACTCTGGTTCTCTGGAAGAGGTCAGAGCTCCTAACTGCTGAGTCATTTCTCCAGCCCCCAGCTCATTTTTATACCATGTTCTCCTTGCACTTCTTCCCATTAGGGCCACAGGTTTACTCAATATGAGGGAAAAACGACACTGGCTACACAGTTAGGCCAGACACAGGGCAGACTACTTGTCCAACGTGGGGAAATCTGTCAACACTAAAATCACAGCCAACCATAACTGAAGGAAAAACAATACACACACAAATGTTGTTTTCTACTGAAACTTATTATTTACCATTAAGAATTGCAAACTAGACTACTAAGAATGAACAACCTCAGGAAGCCTTTCTCAAGCCCTGGGAGCTCCCTCAGGTTGTATTGTTCCACACATCTGCCCTTGGTACCATCAGCAGGAGTTGCAGCAAGACCCTGGGCCACAGCAGCACAATAGCTACTGGACTCAGGAAGTGGAGCCCCAGAGGAATGGGCCTTCCCCCATCCCATCCCACCTGAAGCTAAGGGACAAGATGTAGGAGAGACAGAGTGTAAGGAAATAAATTATGTCATGAACACTTTGTGGGCCACTCTGAGTTGTCACATCTGGCATATGCCATCAGAGAGCAGCTCCAAACTCACCCGTTTACAGGGTCCTAGGGAAGGGCTTTTAGGAAAAGCTGCAAGGGCCACCCCAAGCGGCAATGCCCTGTTCATATCTTCTAGGGCGAAGGAAAGGCCTCTTTCTAAGACAGCAGACCTAGAGCATCAAAGCTTGAAGGCCCAGAAAGCCAGGATTAGAAGGTGGCAGGTATGGGAATGAGCGCCAAGGAGGGTCTGGACACTGCACCTGCTGGTGCCTGGAGCTACCAGCTCCGTTTAAATATACTCTATTGTGAACTAAAAGCCATAGCTCTTTAACTTTTTGGCCCCAAACCAAGAAATTCTCTGTGACCCAGGAGGGTTTCTGAGAAGGGCAAGAACATGGAAGAAGGCTCAAGTAGCAGTGTGTACCCTACCACCAGCAGGCACAGTGTCACAAGCAAAGAGCAGCTCTGCTCCCCTCCCTTTCCTCCCAGAGGGAAGCTGGGTAGCAAGCTAACAGCAGCAGGCGGTGTGTCTTGAAATGCATCAGCCCCTTACAAGAAACAAAGCTCTTCCCTAGTGAGGTCCTAATGGGAATCAGGACCACGGCTCCAGATGACCCGGGAGCTTGTCAGCTGCTCCAGGGTCCAGGTGTCCACACTGTGTCCATGCACACCAGTATCTTTGGGTTTTCCAAATGCCCCACCAGAATACTTTCTCTCCAAAGCCAGCAGCAGCCTTGCTGTAATTCTTTCCATGTGCTCTCCTACTGAGGTAGCCCTTGAGAACCACACGGGGCAAATGACAGCCCAAATGCTCACCCTGCCCAGCAGTATGAGGCCATGCGTGACTGTTACTCTGTATACATCAACCTGCAGATCTTCTAAGACTGACCTGGGAAGTGCCCCAGAAATTCATGTCTTCATTAAACAACTCCAAACAGGGCTTTAATTCCAAATAAACCACAGACCAGGTGCCCAGGAAAAAGCAGGACCAAAGCTGATATGCTGGCTGGGGCTGGCAGTGTCAAGCGGAGAACTCTGGAAGCTCCTGGCTTGCCGCACTTCCTGACCAGGCCTTCTGATGGGCGATTTTCTCATGTGGACAGGCCTTTGCTGTGTTTAGGGTTAGGCAGTCTGACTCCAGGCACCGCAGTCCTTGGTCCATGAGCAGAGCAGGCCCTCTGACAGAGGTGGCACAGGCGCACAGCACTGGCAGGGGTGGGCTGGGTGATGGAATACGCAAACACTGAGTGCCCAAGGCAGGTCTGGGTTCTCAAAGCACCCCAACGAGGGCCATGGAGGCCATCCCCAAACCCTAGGATTTTCAGAGGGATAAGATTTCAAAGTCTTCATCCTCAGAGTCAAAGAACCTCTCCAGTCTCTCTACATCAGAAGAATCTGGAAGGAACAAGATAGAACATTAGGCATCTCTCAGGAGCTGGTGTAGGTGTGTGTTGGCTGGGAAGACAGGAGAGGGGGACAAACTAGAATAGGTCTGCTAGGCCCTCCTGACTGCAGTCTTAACAGGCACAAAGGAGTGCAGACAAGGCCCCAAAGAGAAATGGGAAGTCCACGAAAGGAAGGAGAATGGCACCTGACTCCTGCCAGCAGATGGGGTCTGGCAGAAGTTCAGGAGGATAAGGGCATCCCCTCCTTGCACCAGCTTAGGAATGAGCAGGTCCGACCAGACTTCCCTCCACTATCGCCCAAGGCCAGCCCCTGAACTCTACCTGTGCTGGCCCATAGGACCCAGGCTGCCCCCTGCAGGCAAACTAGCTATAGGCCAAGGAACCAGGACTGCTCATCCCCAGTGGCTCTTAGACGGGACTTCATCATCACAAACCTGTTGTGCCTGGTCTCAACAGTCCCTAGCAGACTAAGGATATATTGTGCTGCTGCCAAGCTCAGGGTTTGAGGTACAGGGGCAACCAAATATTTGCACCTGGGCTCATATAAACAATGGTTAAAAGGGAAAAGACCGAGACCTGAGGGCTTGTGTCAGGCACAGACTACACAAACTAAGAGATCGGAACAGGAGATTATCCCAGTCAGACTTGACTCTGCAACCTCAGCACTCACCTAGGGACAGGTTCAGGACGTCCTGGCAGGCCAGATGGGAAGGCTGCTGCTCCACTAGCTCAAACATAGGTAGGGCACCACCAAGCAGGGATAGCTGTCAGTGAGAAACAGCTGTTAGATGCACCTTGACAGTCACTATAGCCTCACAGATAGGAAAATGGAAGTGGAATCCATACTAAAGGTTACAGCATAGACCAATACAGTGGTCAACAAAGCACGGGCCTGCCCCACTGGTAATGGCTTGTTACCCCATCAGGCATACATGATCACAGAAGGCACAGGGAAGACAGCAGGATGCAACTGGCACAGGGGCAGCCTTTGGCTTAAAATTTATTGCCACCCCAGAACCTCAAGAGGCAAGTGAGTGGGCCAGAATTCTACCATAAAGTTAATGTGCAAAACTTAGGTAAAAGATAGCCAATTACGACCTAGACATGGCTAAGAGAAACAGCAATGTGAGGCACCCTGTCCCATTCAGTCTGCCCGCCCACATGTGTGAGGCAGGAAGAAAACTCCCCATGCAACTAGTAAATGGGGTTCCTAGCTAGGCCATGCAAAGAGGCTCCCTTTACCCCAGCCACCTCATTGCCTGGGTCCCCAGAAGTTTCATCTTGGCTCTGGACAGGGGCAGCTACAGACCTTTTTGACTTGCTGACACCAATCGTTAAAGTCTTCCTCGGTCTTACAGAAAAACCCCTGAAATGAAAAGGACCATGAGTAATGACCACATCTGTATGAGCATGAAGCTGTGATCGC